AGGTAGCTGGTTCAACATAACAAAAGCAAAATACAAATCTAAACTACAAGAATAAGGATAGGCATAAGCGCGAGCAACACGAATGCAAACTTTCATGCATCTTCATCCGCAAAGTTGCAGTGGTAGTAGGGGTCAGCCTCCTGCTCTTTTGAAATATCCCAACCTGTCATGATGTTGTCGATTGTCTTCCATGACTTGTACGTTGCGTACGCATATATTCCTGCGTACGTGACAAGGTTGTCTGGCAGCGGGCTGGTCCCCCACAGTTTGTGGTCTGCCCTGTCCATCTTCTTCTTCATGCTTTCGTAGAATGGGTGGATGACGCCGCCTGCAACATCGGCCAAGGGGTCGTAGTATTTGGTGGTCTTTGGATCTTTCCACTTGCGCTGCATGTCGATGAAGTTGTTGGGGTTGATTTCCAAACCAGACTTCTCCAGCATCCGCTTATCACCTCCAATGCTGAAACCGACAAGTGTGTACAATTTCTCCTCCTGCAGGAAGTCTTTGAGGCGCTTGGGCCTGCAAGGGGGAGACACACATTTAAAGATTAGTCTTCCTTGTTGAAGATTTAATTCTTCTACTTTTTTTGTTTTACAAGTGATAATCCATGAGGTAGATGCTTATATATTATGAGTCATGCATAAATGTAGTTCAGAAACTAGTACACAAAGTCCTGAAACTAAATTCAACTACACCGTGTTATTTTTTCTTTTTTGCTATCTTCATTGCTTCACCAAATGCTTCACCAAATTAGAGAATCATTTTACCAGAGTCAATGATACATGCGCTGCTTGATTCAAGTTTAGTTTTCTTTTTTGTTGAATAAAAGACCAATACCAGTGCTTGATACATCTTTGTGCATTAATTCTATATCAAGTTCAGAAATTAGTTTGAGAAACATGTGCATCAAGATATGGACCTATACCACTTCACCAAAGATCTTTTAATACATCAATTCTACAAACTATACTGGTGCATCAAGATCAGAATCTATGCTAGTACATCAAGTTCAGAAATTAATTTGGTGCATAAAGTTCAGAATGCTATAAACTTTTTTTCAGATGCTAATCTGGTGAAACAATCCACTTCATAGTTTCAGAAATGCATGTAACTTGAGAAACATGTACTCGTGCATCCACTTCATAGACTATAGTAGTTCATATAGTTGGGAAACAAGTTCTAATTAAGTTTTTAGTGAGTAGTACTGGTACAACTGATGAATGACCAGTAGTATGGGTTACCATTTTGTGGCTGCTGCGATGTGGTATACCAAGCAGAGTTCCTCGACGCACAACTGCAGGACTGCCGCCATCTATGGAGGTTCTTCTTCGTTGGTGTACTCCACATCAACTCCGATGAAGCTCGGATACAAGCCCCCGCCCTTCATCCTGAGCCTGCTCATCACCTCGTCGGCCTTGTCTGGTATGTTGGTGCAGACGATCTCCAGTGTCTCCTTGCCGTGTAGTTCAACCCCTTTGAGCGTTTTGGTGTACTCGCGCTTCTCGCCGGGGACGTGAATGTCGACGAGGTTTCTGCTCTTGTTCGAAGTCTCGCCATGGTGACGCTTGGTGGACGGTTCCTCCGCCATCGCCTTCCTCCGGAGACTGTGGGCTTGGGAGAGAGAAGTTTTTGGTTTGTGTGTAGTGGAGATGGAAGCAACAATGGTGGTTCTGTGAATGAGGCAGAGATGGAAGACAATGTGGTATTTTGCAGTGCATCGACGATGGTGTGTGGGAGGCGGTTCGTCGGGGGTGTGGGTGTAGTGGTCATGGGGGGCGTGGGTGCAGTGCGTCGTGGCAACCGCCCATTGGATGGCGCGGGTGGTGGCCTGGAAGAACTAACCGTCCAAGACAAATGTTTTTTTACTGCTGCACTGATTAGTCTTGTCAAGCTGTACTTACGATCTGCTAAATCCCACTTGCACGTCTCTGCGGTGGTGATGATGGCATTTTGCACTGTTTAGGTGATGTATGTTCTGTGAGGTTTTTCCGTGTGGATGTTTAAGTATTGTTTTTCTATCGAAATCTTATACACTAGTTTATCTCAAAACATTTTTTCAGTGCCCTGGGAGTTGTTACTCAAAACTTGTACTTATTTTATTTTCATCTGTATCAACCTAAGTTAGGCCTTTATAGTTTTTGTATTTCTCATTTTTAGTGCACTTATGGTTTAGTACTGTGTGAACTGAGTTGTAATTTCATACAACGCATGGGTTTGAAATTTGATGTCATAGTGGTGCGAGTGGCCTCACTGATCCTGCTGTTTTAGTACTGATGTCGTATGTATGTTTGAACTGATTTTTTTTTTGTTTTTTGGATGGGGGTGGGGGTTTGAGATTATTTTACAACCAGATCGTTCATTGTGGTGTGGACAGATTTTATATAAATAAGAAATTTAGCAGAATTGACAAATAAATTCTATTTGAACTTTTTGCATTTTAGTAGTTGAACTTTTCAGATTTTATATAAATAATAAATTTAGCATAATTGACAAACATTATATGTTTGAACTTTTATAGTTTTAGTAGTTGAACTTGAAATTAATATTTTAATTCGGTTTTTTTAATAATGTTTGAACTTTTTGAGTTTTAGTAGTTGAACTTGCCAGATTTTATATAAATAAGAAATTTAACATAATTGACAAACATTATATGTTTGAACTTTTAGAGTTTTAGTAGTTGAACTTGTCAGTTTTTCTATAAATAAGAATTTAGCATAATTGACAAACATTATATGTTTGAACTTTTTGAGTTTTAGTAGTTGAACTTGAAAGTAATATTTAATTCGGTTTTTTAAATTATGTACATTTAACAGATAGGCTATTAAGTTCTGTTCTTTTTAGAGGTTCATTGTTTTTGTATCATATTTTTTCCTTTTTAGGTTAATTGACAAACATTTTTCGTGTAGTTTATATTTCTTTTGTCCCGCCCTTTGGTTACCTGGGCTTGGGCTTATTGGTGGGGTGTTTTGTTGATGATGCAGGCTATTGGGTCGTTCTTCGGCCCAGATAGCTCGTCCGCGCAGCTGTGCAGTGCGTCGTGCACGTGCGCTCTGGGTTTAGTCCCACCTAGCTAGTCGAGGGGGCTTCGAACATGTTTATAAGCTCAAGCGAGGGTCACCAGTCGAACTCCTCCGAACACTTACCTGAGCGCTTATACACGGCGCTCGCTCTCTCTCTTGACCTATGGGCCCTGGTCGGCGGGTCCTGCGTTGTGCGGATTACTAGGGATTCGCCCACGGGCTCGAGTTCAAGTATCTAGCATTGTCAGGGCCTATGCCTGACATTGGGCGGTCAATTTTTTTTGTTTGTTTGTTTGAATCTAGTACTTGACTCCACCAGTGACTTGGACTGATACTTTTTGTTCTAGTTCTTGTCAGTTTTGTGTGTGTGTAATCTTTTTCATTTGAGTTTTTTGCCTTCTTTTTTGTGTTTGTTTTTGTGATTATTCTCAAGTGTCTTCTGGTGTCATTTTCAGAACTGTATTACTTGCGTGTAGACTGAGTTGTACTTACAGTGCATTCATAGTAGCGCTTACGGACTGATGCTTCTTTGTATTTTTATTGTAGTAAGTATGTACTGTCCGATCAAGTGTACCTAGTTGTACTGACATGGAGCAATGTTGTGTGATTAGTTGCATCATAACTAGTACTTTAGAGTAGGGACAACGTTCCATTTAGAAGCTACTTTTCAATTTTGAAATGTTGGATTAACAACATACGAAGCTACCAAACCAAACTTATATAATGAGATAAGCAAAACATTGTACTTGATGACATAACTAAACTTGTTCAAACATGAAAAGCACGACATAATAATACTGGTTCAACCCAACAAGAGAAAACTACTAATTTGAAACAACAAGATAAAAGGCAAGCACAAGCAGAAGTAAAACGAAGGCAGGCTCTGATGTATCTTCATCCCGTAAAGGGGCAATAGGGGCGGTCGTAGTAGTTTTCAGCCTCCCGCTCTTTTGCATATTCCGAACCATCTGTGATGTAGTCGATCATGAACCATGACTTGTACGCGGCGTACACATCTACTCCTGCATACTCGATGAGGTTGTCTGGCAGCTCGCTGGTCCCCCACAGTTTGTAGTCTTCCTGCGTGTTGATCTTGTTCTTCATGCCTTTGTAGAATGGGTGGATGACGTTGGCTGCAACATCAGTCAAGGAGTCATACTCTTTTCCGGTGTATGGAACTCTCCACTTGCGCTGAATGTCGATGAACTTGTTGGGGTTGATCTCCATACCGGACAACTTCAGCTTCTCTTTGTTGCTTTCAATGCTGAAACCGGCAAATGTGAATAACTTCACATGCTGCAGCATCTCGGTCAGGCGCTTGGGCCTGCAAGGGCAGAGACATTTTGAATATTAGCATTACTTTGATGTTTGAATTATTCATTTTTGTTTTGTTTTACAAGCGATGAATCCATGAAGTAGTTGTTTATGTAGGATAATCAATGGATGAATGTACTTCAAAAACTAGTAAAGAAAGTTCTGAAATTAAATTAATTACATCATGTTATTCTTCTTCTTGGATTATACATAGTTTCAGTCAATGTTGTATGTTCTGCATTGGTACTAGTTTAGTCTACTTTTGTTGAATAGGATAACACATAACCAGTGCTTCACCAAGTTCTTAGTTAATTTTCTTATGAAAATAACATTAGATCAAATTCAGAAAATACTTCACTACATCAAGTTCAGAAACATGTTTTTAATACACTGAGTACATAGACTCCTCTGTTGGATCAACTTCAGAAACTACACTAGTCGATCAACTTCAGAATTTAATCTTCCGCAAGATTTTCCAAATAGTAATCCAGTGCATCAGTTTCAAAAATACATTTATAGTATATCTACCTGAGAAAATGCAGTAGTGCATCCACTTTTCACAAACCACACTAGTACATGTAGTGGGGAAACAAGTCTGATTAAATTTTTAGTATACAGTACTAATAAAACAGATAAACCTTATGCAGGGCCAATGAGTAGGATTGCTCACCATTTTATGGCCACTGCAATGTGGTACACCAAGCAGAGTTTGTCGACGCACAACTGCAGGACTGCTGCCATCTGTGGAGGTTCATCTTCGTTGGTGTAGTGCGCACCAACGCCGACGATCCTACGAGTCCTGCCGCCAAGCTTCCTCCAGAGCCTGGAGATCACCTCATCGGCCTTTTCTGGTATGCTGGTGCAGATGATCTCCAGCGTCTCATTGCCATGGAGCTCAACCCCTTTGAGGGTTGTTGTGTACTCGCGCTTCTCGCCGGGGACGTGAATGTTGACGAGGTTGCTGCTCTTGTCCGACGTCTCGGCATGATGACGCTTGGCGGACGGTTCCTCCACCATTGCCTTCCTCCGGCGACTGTGGGGTTGGGACAGAGAAGTTTTTGGTTTGTGTGCAGTGGAAATGGAAGTGGCAATGGTGGTTTGTGGGAACGAGGGAGAGATGGAAGAGAATGGGTTTTTTTGCAGTGCGTGGACGGGGATTTGTGGGAGGCGGTTCGTTCGGGGGCGTGGGTGTAGTGGGTGTTGTGGCGTGGGGTCACCATTTGCAGTTCCTTGTGGCAACCGCTCAGTGGGTGGCGCTGGTGGAGGCGTGGAAGAACTAACTGTCCAAGTTAAATGGTTTTTACTATTGAACTGACTAGTCTTGTCAAGCTGTACTTATGACCTGACAAATCCCACTTGCACGTCTCTGCGGTGGTGATGATGGCATTTTACTGTGGCACCGATTCGTATAGTTAAGCTGTACTTATCAGCTGCTTATCCCACTTGCACATGTCAGCGTCGGTGTTGATGGAGGTCTGAACTCCTCTACTGTGGTACTTGGACTGGTGATTGCAGTGTAATTGAACGTACCAAATACCAGTGAGACTATGTGTGGTGCTAATGTTTTTTTGAAACAATTTTCGTATTTTTTAAAGGATTGTTTATATCAAGATAATCTGTGAGTATTTTTTACAGATAAATTAGATTTTCATCAGTACAAGATGTATTATATTCGCATTTTTCTTGAGGTAATTATTTTTATGTACTGATGGTCTTTCTGAATTGGGACTGGCAGAAGCAGGCATAGCTTTGTTTTGTCAAAATGATGTTTTTTGAGTCGTTCATTGGTGTGTTTGTTTTACTATGCCTTTGTACTGACGACTGCGAATTATCAGTACTGATGTACTACAAGAGTTTAAATTTTTCCATTACATTTTTTTTGCTGAGTTATTGGTTGACAGTAGTGTTTTGCGTCAGATATATCCAAATAAGTTTTTTCAAATTTATTTGTGAGTGCATTCAAAAGGATTATCAAATGGTTTACATAATAATGTCACTGCTCCAGCAGGCACAAATCAGAAATTATATCAGTACTGATGTGTACTCTGCCTTGTACTGATGACTCAGAGTTATCAGTACTGATGTACTACAAGAGTTTAAATTTTTCCTTGATATTTTTTTGCTGAGTTACTGGTTGACAGTAGCGTTTTGCGTCAGATATATCTAGATAAGTTTTTTCAAACGTATTTGTGACTGCATTCAAAATGATTATCAAATGGTTTACATAATAATGTCACTGCTCCAGCGGGCACAAATCAGAAATTATATCTTAACTATAGTAGTGATCGAGAAATCGACGATAAAGCTAAATAAGTTTTGGTAACGACAGTGTTTCTGAAGTGCTTCCTCATTGTGTGCTGATGCAACTAAGACTACAAGGTTATTTTTTAGTTGACGCAGCGGGATAACCACTATGTATTGTTCAGTCTTGAGCTTCTCCTAACTGTCCCCAAATGTTGTGCCTTGCCGGTGCTCTTTCCAGGTTGAGCCTTGGCAACTTCATCGTCAGTTTCAGTTTCCTCGCCCCCGACACTGTCATCTTCATTGTCTTCGTCTGATTGGCCGTCATTCTCGTCAAACTCTTCTTCTTCATCGTCTTCATTTGATTGCTTGGAACTCTGTACCTTGCCATGTTTCTATTCAGCTCCACTAACCTCCTCGCCCACTTTGCATGTGCGGGCATTATGTCCGTCAGTTCCCCCACTCTTGCGGCAAGTGTAGCTGTTACGTGTGTTGTCTCCATTGGTAGAAAGCTGGATGGCTCCAATCTGCTTGTTCTTGTTGACAGTGGCATCTGTGCGGAGTGGGCATGTGCGGTAGTTATGGTTGCTCACGACGTTGCAAAATCCGCATGCCCTTATCCCGAGAGGTTTGCCGTCCGGGCCAAATTCCACACGCTTGATGGGGCGTGGTGGCTTTTTGGCTGCTGCTTTCGTAGTTTTCACTGCTTGCGTCTTGCTCTTCCTCCCCTTTGTGTTTGAGAATATGGGTGGTTTAATCACCCTTTCCTGATGCTGTTGGTAGGATGTGCTATTGTCATGTCGTTCGCCTACAGCACCATCGAGCTCATGATCTCGCATGTGAGCTTGTCGGTGCTCTTGAATGTGCACATGGGCAAGCTCCGGTTGCTGCTGCTCCTCTTCCTCGTTGTCAAACGGGTCAATAGCTCCCAGATGGTTCATCTCGGATAACATTGTAGCAATATCCTGCTCAATGGCTTCATTGCCCGCGACACCTCCATTTTCAGCAAAATGCATGGCGTCGAGTTCTTGTTCAAGTTTGTCCATGACGACTCGTGACCTTGCCATTTGCTGTCGGCTTCTCAAGCTTTTTCTGTGCACCCTCATGTTTGACGCTACTGTCCTCAAGTCATTTCTGTCAAATGTTGGCTGGATGTTCGGGCGTTTGGTGTATCTCCTGAGGATGTATTTCTCTGGAACGCTGGTAGCCTTAATTGTCTGCATCATGAGCAGGACATGCACGCAGAAAAGACCTGTATTTGTTTTTGGAAGAGGTGCATGTTTTTTGTCATTTCATTCGAACAAAAACTTTGCAAAAAAAGTAGTACAGTATGTAACATCTTTTTTGTAGTCCTCACCTATGTGGTCCCATAGCCTGCACTCGCACTCATATATTTCTCCCACGTGGTCTGCAACCACCTGGAACGCGTGCTGAGCCCACACAGACAGTTTTTGCGGGTGGTTGTAGCGCAATAGGTACTTTGTGGGCTCTTCCGTCTCTGTCACCGTGAAGAGTGTGCTCAGTTTTAGCCTATCTCTGATCTCGCTGTACACAGCTCGTGTGTACAGCTTTGCCATCTGGGTGTCAAACCCATAGAAGGTCAGCGTGTTTTGTTCCTTCTACACATGCAAGAATGATGACCAAATTGTTAGTTTTCTTGCAGCAAAAACTTTTAATAAAGTTTTTACTTTAGTATGCATGTAATTTTTTTGTCTTACGACAAGTGATAGAGCTATACCCGGTTACCCATTGTCTCCTGGTTCTCTGTCTGCCTCCTGGTTTTGACGTAGGAGTTTACCTGGCTGACAAACCGGTGTAGGTTATGTCTCTCATTTACGTAGTTCTTCTTGAGCACATAGTTCATGCTCTCACTTTGCTGTGTGGATGTCATTTTGGCGCAGAAAATTTCTTTGAAGTAGGCTGATATCCATTTCTCACGCTCGTTCCACATCCCCACCATTGTGGCATCATCGTGGAGGTTATAATTATCCATGAGTCTTTTCCAGGCATCCTCAAACTCAGTTGGCATGAGGGGCCAGTTGAGCATTGATGTGAATTCATCCTTAAAGTCATCGTGCAGGTAGTACAGGTACGCGAGGTGTTCCCTGTACTTCTTCATAATGTGCCAGTGGCATAGCTTATGTACCGTGTTCTTAAAAACATATGTGATCACAAAAGCCATTGCCGGGCACTGGTCTGGTAATGAGAAAATAGACTCGGAGTCGTCAGCAGATGGTTGTACATATATACCAATAGAACTAACACAACATTTTTACTGTGTTATTTTCCTTTTCTTTTTTGGATGGGGGGTTGTCGTTGGGGGTGGTTTTAGCGGTTGTACCTGTGAGGATGCATGTAGGAGCCTTCCTTCTCATGCACCTTAAAAATGTCTTGAACAACCACTTGAATGAATCTGCATCCTCATCTCTTATCAGGGCAAAACCAAAGAATGTAGTCTGCAAGTGGTTGTTAGTTCCGACAAACACCCCAAGTGGCATATGGTACTTGTTGGTCTTATATGTTGTGTCAAACGTTACGCAGTCCTCGAAGTCCCGATACGCCCCTCGGCAGCTTGCGTTCGCCCAGAATATGTTCTTAACTCTGTCGGACTCATCGAGTTGCATGTCACAGAAGAATTCCCTGTTTATAGCTTTCATCTCCCTAAAGAAGTTGAAAGTCTTTAGGACATCGTCCACATCGTCAATCCTTGAATTCTTTGCTTTCCTGCATATTAAAAGTTCATTGAGAATGCATGTTGAACTGGCTTCAGGTCATGCATTGCGTAATATGTTTGTACTGACAGAGGAAAAAAGACGGAGGCGGTTTATGGGAGGAGAACATGTTTGTACTTACAGGTTAATCAGGTCTTTGGCATTCATTTTGAGGAAGTAGCTACCAGGGTCATCACCGCCCAGTATGCTCATGATTTGCGCATGTTCAATGCCTTTGAACTGCATGTACTTGATGTACTCCAAGATTGTTTTGTCAAAGTTTTTGTGGGAGTGCAAGAAGACAAGCATTTCTGCGGTGAGCTGTAGCCTGTGGTTGTGTTCCTAGACTATCTATTTTACGACAAATGTTCCATCCTTTTCCTTCTTCAGTCTTATTTTAGCCCTGCAGTTAGTTCTGGCTGTCGTCTTGTTATGATGTCTATTTGCTTCAGACACCTTTGATTCATAAACTCCATGGCACGTGCGATAAAGGTAGGCTCTGGTCTTAGACTTGGGGCCTTCCCTGACAGCAAAACTAGCATGCTTCGCATATACGTTGTAGAAGTTCTTTGTTTCTTCAAAAGTTTCAAACCTCATCTCTAGCCTTGGCAGAATGTAAGCTTCAATGTCAGGTGGCTGCACGCAACAGTGACAAAACAAAAACATAGTTATGAAAATGTTAGATGGGGTGGTCACAGCATCATGGTATGGACTGTGCTTGTATGTTTTTTTCTATATGGATACTTACATGTGTATAGCTCTGCGCTACTTCTGGTGTTTTTTGTCCTCTCTGGTTTATGGGTGCCGGTGGTGTCACCCTTGGCACATGCAACAATGCATCTCTTGGAGGGAGCAACGTTGACGAAGATCTCCGTCTCTCGTTGTACGACCGTCTCCTCTCAAATTCATTGTGAGGTTGCTCCTGTCTATATGACTCATATCTTGTACTTTTGAACCTGCTAGAGTGGCCAAAATTTCTGTCTCTTTGCCCTGGTCTTCCCGTCGCAACCGCTTTTGCAGCATGGATGATTGATGTTGACGAAGCGACTGGCGGAAGCCTTGTTG